CTTATATATGTATATTTTTAAATGGCCACCATATTGCCCTGAAATGGACAAACTTCATTTGTTTATTAATTTATCAAATTTTCTCAAGTGCTAGGTATTTTAAAGATACAAAGAAGATGGTGTGTCAGTCATCTTTGTGTTACTTTAACAAAACACCTGAAATGAACAATTTTTAAGGAGGTGAGGTTTATTTTGGCTCACGGTTTCAGCGGTTTCAGGCCATGGTCAGTTGGCTTTGGGCCAATATGGTGAAAAAGAACATTATGTTGAACATACTTGGTCATCTCATGGTGGCTGGGAAGCAAGAAGAGAGGGAGGGCACACCCCTGGTGACCTAATTTCTTTGCACTAGGCCTTTACTGCCTCCCAGTAGTGCCACAGGCTAGGCAGCAAGCTATCAACACATGGACCTTTGGGGCATTTCAGATTCAAGCTATAACAGATGGATAAAGACCACTTCTGGGGACATATAGACAACTCAGCACCATTCAGTGCAATAAGTGCTTTACTAGAAGCAAACACAGCAAGCAAAGGGGATACAAAGAAAGAGTACCTTTCTGTAGACACTGAGGGAAGGCTGCACAAGAATCCTGTGAGGTAAAGGGTGAAAAAAGACGGGAGGGTAGGCCTGACTTGGAACCTGCTTTCTGGGTGGATCTGAGGCAAAAGGTAACCAAGAAAAACAGCTGGGAAAAGAGGGAGGACCTGCCTTGGAGATCCTTTCTAGGACTAGATCCATGTTCTGAGTTAAACATTAGCCCGGATCAGGGTGGCCAGTGTAAACACAGTAGGAAAGTTAACTAAATAACTTACCCTAGGGCAAACAGTGGTGTTCTTGTAACGCTTGGCTGACCCTAATCTAATTACCATGTCACTGACTGTAGATTTGACCCACCGTGGCCTTGGATGCCATGACATTTCCTCCAAAGGCCATAAAGGGTCAGAAACTCCACTGCCCCATGGAAGGGCTAAGTCAAGTCTCTCATTGGCAGTAGTCATACCTTAGATCAAACCCTTAAGGTCACCCCGAACTCTAAGGCTTAAAACCCTCAACCCTCCTGCCTCAGACCTTTTCTGTTTGTACCTGGATGGCTTTGTCAAAGACAAAAATCTTTGACTGAATCTTTGAATTTTTATTTCTTTACTCATAGCATATGTGTACAGCTGACCTCACTGGACTCTTTGGGATTAGTGGTCTTCTATGTGGACTGACGTCATAGTTGTCATCACCATCATTTTCATCATCTCCTACAACCCACCAAGAAATCATGGTACGAGCCTATTTTTGCAATTTCATTTTTAGTTACTCAAGTAACAAATATCAAGCCCTTGGTACCCTAAACTCTTCTCACTCCCTTCTCACTCTGTGAAGGGTATCTTGTCTTTCAAATAAATTGTTGATTTGGCTGCAACTGTTTGGTGTCCTTCTCAATTCTCTGGTTAGGACATCGAGAACCTAGACAAGATCTCCAACCCAATACTAGGTCCAGAACTCAAGGGTTCAGTGTTAGTTAATTTTTATTTCCACTTCCTCATGTTGTTGTTGTTATTGTTAGTGTTCCTTTTCCTGGCAGAAATTACATTGACTAATTTTCATTGTGTTATTTCATCATATTTAGATGTTAATATTTTTGGATGCTTATGCACCAGCCTACTAGTAGTTGCTTTATTCCAGAATATGAATTCCTCTCTAGAGTAGACAGACCCTTGACTTACAAATTCAATTCATTCCTGAGGGCTGGTTGTAAATCAAGCTGGTCAATTTTAAAAAAAATTCTTTTATTGGTACATTTTAGATATACAATATGCTTACATTTATCATTGGGTGCTTGTATCTGTACATGATGTATCTTAGTTCTTATTTTTTTCCCCATTACCTGTGTGTCCTTCCACCCTTCTCTATTTACATAGATTTCATTTCCATTGTTTTTTCTTTTCTCATAATTTTTTCTTCCCCTTCTTCCCTTTCCCCTTCCCCTCCCACCACCCCTACACCTTTGGACCTCTTCCTATGTCAAATGATCAATTATTCATTTTAATCATTTTAATCCTTATTTAGACTTTCAGTTTCTCATACTAGAGAAACTATTCGGTATTTACACGTGTGTCCTATTTATTTCACTTATGAGTATGGCCTCAATATGCATCCATTTAGTTCTAAATGTCTCTAGTTTCTTGTTCTTTATGGCTGAGTAGTACTCCATTTTATTAAAAAACCACATCTTCTTTATCCAGTTTCTAGTTGATGGGCACTTGGGCTGTTTCCAAGCTTTAGCTGTTACAAACTGTGCCGCTATAAACATGGGTACGCATATATCACTGTGGTATGATTCTTTTAACTCTTTTGAGAAGATACTCAGCAGGGGAATAGCTGGGTCAAATGGGACCTCTAGCCCTTCTTACAAGCAGGTCAATTGAAGGCTCAGGATCCTCTACACAGCGTTCAAAGTCTCCCTTCTGTATAAAGGCAGATCTTAGTGTCCTTAGAGAGACATTGGCCCAGGCTTTCTCAACTTAACACAGGAAGGGAGGTTGTAATGTTCCTTCCACAACTCTTTAAGGGTTAAATCTGTATCTGAGATCATTGGAAACACAAGCAGCTGGCCTTTGGGTCATAACTCGAGACTTTGGTTGTAAGTTAAAACTAAAATTTTGGTCATAATCCAAATTTTTCTTATGTCAGACTGGTTGTAACTCGAGAGTCTACTGTATTTCTTTTCACTTGAGGATAAGACTTGGTTTAAGTAGTTTTCTTTTGTATCTTTGATTGTGGTTATCTTCAAAGGAGACAGAGTTTTTGAATATATTTTTAAAAACAAAAGCTTGTTTCAGTTAATTTAATGGGAAAAATGATACAAAACTATAGCTTTGTGTTATTTTATTGTTACTGCCATTTGAAGCTTTCCAATTTTGTGTAGATATTCTTTGTATGCAGAACTGATCCTGCTTGAACTTGGGATCAGATGTCATGTGGAAAGTAAAGGTCATCTGCTCTAAGTTGCTAAAGGGATCTGAATAGAAAAGGTAAGCATAGTCATATTTATTTAGAGAACTTAAGATCCCCAGGTTTTTTTTTTTGAAGCTAGTGAGAAAGCCAGTACAAAATTAATCAGTTTTATATGTGTTAATTCAATCGAATAGGTCTTTCTGACTTGAGTGATGTACTGTAAGTAGTTAAGATTGCAATCATCACCTTTCTTTGTCCTTTTCCAAGGTGTGAGCTTTGGAGAGGGTGCCTGTCAGGCATCTTCCATTTTCACTAACAACTCACACTTGTCACTAGATTGATTAATATGTTCCATCCTCAGTTTTCTTTACTGTGTTTATCTTAAGGCAGACTACCTTTGGTCCAACATTTCATTCTTGGTTTGTTACAAATGGATAAACAGTGATTAATTTTCCAATGTTTTGTTTTAAATATGAAAATGAGCTTGACCTAAATGTAAATGCAATATGTGTCTTTGACTAGCTGGGCTACCTTAAACTTCAGTCTTAGAAATAAAACCTTAAGTAAGGGCAAATGAATGGTAAATAAATGCTTTAAATAATGAAAATAAAATAGGAATATTTTCTTTGGAATCTAAAAGCTACACATTTTTTACTGAGATGACAAACACATTTCTAAATGCATCTATAGGTGTCGCTGTTGAGATACACTATGTATTGAAAGGCACACTGTCCAGTATTGAATCTGAGAAAGGCCTGCTGGGGTAGATTTTATACCACGTTTTTGACTAATTCATGGGTGTGTGTATGTGTGTGTGTGTGTGTGTGTGTGTATGTGTGTACAAATATATGGTAAATGTTCAAATAAAAATTATTATAATAAAAGAGACATTGCCATTAATCTCATTGAAAATACTTGCCCTTACTTTGAGCATATGTATACCATCATTCTTGTCATTTTTCTGAAGCAGTTCTGTAAGTTCTCCTTTGTGGGTATCTTTATACATTGTGAACAAAAATACAGTGAATGCTTCTGCCAAGTACCATCTAACAGAAAGGCAGGCTTATTGAACAGTTATCCTCATCCACCTTATTCACTGGATCTGGAACTGTGTAACTTCTGGCTTTACCCAAAGTCAAAATGACCACGGAAGGTAAATGTTTTGAGTTGATTCAGGACAATGAGGCACCCCTGACAGTGCAAATAAAGACATTCATGAAAGAGGCCTTCAGAACTGCTTTAGATAGTGGCAAGAATGATGGAATGAGTGAGTTTGAAGTGAGTGTGGGTGTTTCGGTGGGGATTAATGGCAATGTGTCTTTTACTCTAACAATTTTTAAACATAACATTCACCTTAGATTTCTATCACACCTCCTATCTATCTATCTATCTATCTATCATCTATCATCTATCTATCTTGTTTTTGTGTGTGTGTGTGTTGTGAGTGTTGTATGTAAGTCTGATTTCCTGGCATAATTAAAGTAACTAATTTGATATTTTATTACTTGGGGACAAGAAATCAATTTGGACCAGGAAAGTGAAGATATAGGTATAGAATGGAATAGAGTACAGACTTAATCCTTAAATTTCACCTCAAGTTTCCTAGATTAGCAGTTTGGAGAAATTAATGTTTTTATTCTTCCTTTCTCTCACTACCAACAGAAGTCAGTGAGATTCTCTGAGGCTGTCTGGGTTAGGGATTAACTTCCAGATGCCAAGTTCCTTTAAGTAGGACACCAAGGAAGGAATTAAAACAGTGTTTAACTGATATCCATGTTTTCTGAAAGGGTTCCCAAGTTAGAGCCAGGATAAATGTAACAAATTGGGATTCTAAAACTCTAACTTTTAAAAAACTCTCTTTTACCTTTTTGAGAATTTGGGAAGATTACCTAGTAGGGCTAAACCTTAGGAACGTGTTAAGGGGTAATCTATGTTTACATATGTAGATCTGCTTCTAATTTTCCTTAAAAAAAACTCCCTTCACTAGTATTTGAATTAATTATTTAACAGTGACTGCTCATCCATTACATTATTTTTAGAAGTCAAGGTTGTAGAGAAACATCAGGAATAATTCTTGGCTTCAAGAATCTCAGTTTTTAATTGCAACAAGACTAGTGAGTAAAATTAAAGTTAAGTGATCAGTTTGTACAGAATATAAAGAACTACCAAATTTTCTTGGAGATCAAGGACAGAGAAGTTCATCTGATCAGTTTGAGCAATGTTTACTGTGAGTACAAGATTGATGGGGCATCCCTGATGGAGTGAAAGATACCAAACACCAGGTATGTAAAGGGCAGTGAGTTGTTAGGAATGGCTCAAGGACTGTGATGAGAACGGAGTAGGCAAAGCTGTGTTTTCATGATGCCTCACTGTGTTTCACCCAAAGAAAATAACCTCAGCAGTTAGTACCCAGACATTCTTTTTCTCAACAAACTTAACTGTTCCTATTCATCTTTAAAACAGAAAGGGTTTATTTCTGAATGGATAGTTTCTATGCTAGTGTTGACAACTGTCATTTGGGGTTTTGTTAGGTAGTAATTGTCTTGATGACTAATTGCTCTTGACCAATGGGATGGTTGTGTACTGAAGTCTTCTGTGACTGATATGAATAACTAAATTTCTTTTTGTTACAAGTGGATACTAAATGCTTGGACTGAACTTTAGCCCACTTCTTACAGTTTATATAAAATAGCCAATATTTCTATAGTGTTTATTCTGTACCAGACACTGTTCCAAATACTTTACATACATAACTCATTTAACTTTATAATCACTCTGTTATGTAGATAAAAATACAATCCCAGTTATATTCATAAAGGTATGAGGCATAGAGCATTAGAGAACTTACCCAAACTGATAAAGCTAACAAGACAGACTTGAGATTTGGGCACTGGGTAATCTGTTTAAAGTTATATATTACTAATAATTGGATATTGGATATTCATTCATCATCCTATATAACAAGTTATTTTCAGGGATTTGTATTTTATGGGAATGAAGGACATGCATAAACTTTTTTTGTTTTTTGAGGAGACAGATGTCTGGAAGATCCACCAAGGGAGATTCCTTAGTAGAAAGAAGGGGCTGGGAGTGTTGGCAGTTCATCTCATCAGTTTAGGAAGGCTCCTAGGATGATGAGAGAGTTCCTTATTCCTAGAGGATGGGAGAGGGGCAAGGAAATTTCTGTGATCTTCTCAGAAATTAGTTTCTAAGTAACTGCTAAGAGTAATCCCAAATGAATGGATCAGACTAGAGAATTTTGACAAGATATACACAGAAACTATAAATATTACTGCTTTATTCCATGTGTATGAGGCAACAACAGTATCCTTGAGGCTGTACAGATTCAAAAAGATATCATTCCTGCCCTAAGGGTTTACAATGCAGTCAGATTTGATTTTTTTTTTCCAGATCCAAATGTTTAAGTGTTGCGCATCACTGGCTCTGTTCTGTTTCTCTTCATTTTAAATTAGTGCTTATTCCCAGGGCAACTGATGCCTCAACATCCACCACACTGATTTTACTCAGTGCCTTAGTCAGGGGAAAAGAAGAATGTGCCCATGATATTTTTTCTCTTCAGCAGTTGCGAATCAAAAATGATATTCACCAGTTTTTGTGTATATGGCAATCAACTACTTGTATTAATTTCCCTGTTAAACTGAAATGTTAGAACAAGTATTAAAGAAGTGAGAAAGAAATACTAGAAATATTTATTTATTTGTAAATTCATTTGAAGTATTGACTGCATATGTGTGCAGAGTAGGTAATTTAAGAGTTGTGGGAATTCTCTGAGCAATGGTGAGAGCAAACAAGTCTTGTCTCTTCCTTCATCTTGGTGTGTAACAGGGAGCTCCGGATTACCAATTTCCGGAAGTGGGGCAGGCACAAGGCTCATCCTTTGAACATTTGTCTCATTCAGTCTTCCTAGGTCATCTAGAGGGTAACTACTATTTCACAGTCAGGGAATCTGAGGCTTAAAGAGGTTACACAACTGGATGAAGGTCACATAGCAAGTAAGGATGGGGCTATGGTTGTGATCTTTTGTGCACAATACACACCATTCAGAGTAAGAGATATCATCCCATTGGTTACTCTCACTGGCTGTCCCATCACATGACCTTTTTCCAAGGGCAAGGAGTAGAGATTGCTGTTCTAGCCTTTTTCTAATGATTTTATTACACATTTACATTATACAACTGGAATGTTTTCACTATGGTTAACATTGAAATCCAATGTTGTACTAAGTTTTCCTTCATACCCTCTTTCCTTTGCTCAGGACATCAGTTCATCACTGTATGTGGGGTAAAATGTCACTTGGTCCCTGGACTCCTGAGGGAAAAGGGCCACCCACATGAGTGGAAGGCTGGTGGAAAAGTCACACATCTCCATAATCAATGAAAACAGTAGCAGAGATTAGTGTGGGCAGCTACCTGAAGTTATACGTGGCTCAGGAACCTGTGAGTGGGACAGATATTGGAAAGCACCCCAGTTTCTCATCTTGCTGGTATGTTTCATGCCAAGCAAAAGTTCCCCAGATGCCATGTAGAATTTGCACATGATGGATTTCTGATTCCCGGTCTTTACAATATTTTGGTTTAATTATCCTATGGATAAATTGGTTGTTTTCTGGGGGTAACATAGCAGTTAACCCTGGCTGGTAGAGCAGGGTGCAAATAAATGGATCTAAGTAATTTGAAATTACTGTGCATTCATAGATGAGTGCAAACTATTTTTCAGTTAGCTCACAAACAAATCTGAAAAGAATTACCCTTTAGGTATGCTGATTTCACAGCAGAAACACTGAAATGAATATCAGGATTCAGAAAGAATTGGCTCAGTTACAGAAGTTCGAACAACTTCTAATATAAATGCATCACTAATTTATTCAATAGATTTCTACAAATATAGAGGTGGGCAGGACACTGCGTTGAGCTCTGCAGCCTGAAGTCAGGGGTTATTTGGCTCCATTATAAAGAAATGCAATGTGGACCCAGTGGATTTTGTTTTATGAATTTATGTACTTCTTCCTCTCAAATGGTCAGTGGGGGATTTTAAAATCTCTGTAAGTGGAAAATCATGGCACAATTCCAATCTTCTCATTACATTAGTGCCTGGCAGAGAACCAGAATCTAAGAGAAACTCATGATCATTAAAAAACAAAGAAAAGCAAAAGAGTAAGGATGCTGAATTTGTAAGGTACAATCTAACAGGTTGCAGAAAGAATAACAGATTTTTTGAGAGGGTTGAAATGTGGTGGTATGATTTCATGGAGAATCAAGAGTGGTCATCAACCAGCTGTGTGATTTAAAACTTGCTTAATGTTTGGGACCTGAAGTTTCCCTGTTAGATGAGATAACTCCCTGTTAGGAAAGGTCCATGTTTGTTGCTCACTCTATCTGTGCTGTGTCCTCAGCCTCCTTGTACAAATGAATTGTCCTGTGTCCTCTTCATGCTCTGGATTGCATGCATTCTCCTTTACACAAAGGCCATTTCTCCAGCCATCATCCCCTTTGTTTCCTTATTGATCATTTTTTTTCATGTCCTAGGTCATTCCCATGAGCCTAAAATATGCTTTAATATATCTTCCATCTTTACTAACACTCTGTATTGTCACCAATCTCTCCAGACTTCCACTCTGTTTTGCTTTACAGCAAAGCTTCTCAAACTTACCTGTGTAGTTATCACTTCCTCAGCTCTTCCTTTTCCATTAAGTAAGTCACAACAGGATTTTGTCCCTTACCTCTACTAAAGTGCTCTTGTCAAGGTCACCAATGTTCATACACTCCTACTAATGGTGAGTTTTCTTTCCTCCTCTTATGTATCCAGTTTTGTCGTAGCACTGGAAATAGTATTTCACAACTTTCTTCTTAAGCACTTTCTTCTCTTTTCTCTTAATCGCCACCTAGTTTATTGGCTTCTTCCTTCTCATTCCCATACATTAGACTTTACGCCTACTCCTTTCCTTGGCCTTTAGAGGTGAGAAGGTTCTGAGAACTCAGTTTGCTATCTTCTTCTCTGTCTTTTCTCACTTTCAAGTGAATGGATGCCATTTCAGGTGTTAATGATCATCTATATATTGAAGAATCTTCCACATTTTGGAGTCTTTATTGACATCTCTTTTTCATTCACTTCTGTATTCAAATCCATCATCAAAACCTGACTGCCCCTACCCTTTGGCATAAGTCTAGAACAAACTATTATTCCTAGTACTTTGATCACTGGGGCCACTTCACCTGGACTGCTGCAAAGACCTCTAAACTGGTCTCCATGTTTCTATTCTTCATCTAGTCTGTTCTCAAGGCTACCTGAGTAATCTTTCAAAAGGTCAGTTTGATCATGTCAATCTTTTCTTAAATCCATTCAATAACTTGCCATTACACTTAGAAATAAACCCAGTGTCTTACAATATCCTAAAATGCTCTATATTATGGGTCCACTGGCTATATTCCTGATGTCAGTTTTTGAACCTGCCAAGCTTCCAAAAACCCGCAGGATTTTGGTCTTGGCATTTTGTTCCCACTGGAGTCCACATCTCACAAGCTTGTGTGGCTCACTTTCCACAATCATTCAGACTCCTCTCCAGGGTCACCTGATCGGAAGGCTTTCTGGAATTCCTCTGTTATGTTTTATATCTAGACATCTCCCCAAAACCTCATTGGCGAGACTTTGGAAGGTGATTGGATTATGAGCGTGTGACCATCATCAGAGAATTAGTCCACTGATGAGTGTATAGCTAAATGCGGTCTTGGGAGGTGGAGTCTGGATGAAAGAGGCCAGTCTCTGTGGGTGTGGCCTGGGAGAGTCTATCTCTTTTTTTGGCTTGGCTCTTCCTTGATCACTCTCTGTTGCTGCACCACTAGGCCAGAGCAGCTCTCCTCCACCATGCGCCTCTGCCACGCCATCCTGCCTTTGACTAGGGACTGAGTCCTCTACCAATTATGAATAAACCTTTCCTGCTTTAAGTTGAGAGTGTTGTGTATTTTGTCCCAGCAATGAGACAAGTAAGACAACCTCTATGTGGCCCCCATGCCTTTCTATCTATTTATACACTTTATTTTCTTTCTTTGCTAATCACTTATACATATACACTTTCTATTTTTTATTGTCTAACTTCCCCAGTTGAGTATAAATTCTATGAGATTAGGGACTTTTTCATAATAATTCCTGTTTCTCCAATACTTAGAACTTTGCCTGGGACATAAAAGACACTAAAAAATCTGGGCTAAATGAATGAGAGCATTAACATAGGAGAGAACTAATGAGCCTTTAACTTCAGTAGTCA